ATGAAAGCGTGAATTCGGCATCGCATAAACACAGTAACAGTTTCTTAGATCTCAGCGTTCATACGGACGGATAGGCTGACGCTTTTGACTAGATCGGCTCCGCTAGTTATCCTGATCGAGATCGGACTTTATGGAATCCTAACAAAGTGAAAAACTAGTGACTATCGCACCTTCAACATAAAAAAGTTGTGATATCCGTACGTATACGTATTATACGATGCAAAAAAGTCGTACAGCTAACTGCCTACACAGGCATATCACTGTGGAGAAGCGCGCAAGAGAGCGTGCGAAGACAACTACTTTATATAGCCGCAGAATTGAAAATATGCAGTTATGGTCCGATCATAACGAGTGATACACCAATCGAAAGGTATCGCACTAACTAAGAAGATTGCATACCAAGACTTTCGAAATATAGATTTGTTTGGGAAAAAAAGCGGTGAAAGTGTAAAAGTAAACATTTAGAAAATTGGAGCTGCTGGATACGGTGGGGATAAAAGCCCCTGGCTGTTTAGCTGGTTTTATTCTTACTGAGAATACGCGAATGACACCTCATTTGTTGAAATCCGATGTTCCGTTCAAAAGTAATTCAAAAAACAAGATTTTCCTTTTCTTCCCAAAATGAAAATGTTTGTCCATTAGTTTGTGGGCTAGCTTAGCGGAAAAAAAAAACAGATTTAAAATGCTTATAGTATCTAAACAACTAATGCTACAGAAACGTGCTATATATCCCTGAAAAGATAATTAAATACTCTAATTACTTTTCATATAGTAAAATTGTCTGAATATAATAGATTTAGAGCTATGACAAAAAGTTATTTTTTAAAACCACTTTTTGACTATTTTCTCAAAATTGAGTGGAACGATTTCTTTTTAATTTTTAAATCTTTTAGCCCTTGAGATTCCTCAACTTTTGATATATATAACACTTTTTGCCCTAAAAATTACCGTTTGGAAGATATTAAGCGATAAAAAGTGCACCTCGTTTCAGCTCCGTATACGAAATATTTCATACTTATTGGAATAACCAAGAAAAAAACCAATTTGATGAAAAAATTCTTATTAGATTTTTTCAAACGGAAAATCTGTTATGGTTTTAGGTCCTTTACTTTCATGAAGCTAATCGAAATAGAAAAACTTGATCTATTTGTTCTACCACTTTGGAAAAACCCGCTAGTTCGGCGGGAAATGTAAGAAAGGACAGATTTCTCTTGGAATCTGAAACTATACAGCCCTTGAGATTCCAGACTTGTGTTAAAATAGGTAATTGAAACGATAAAACTTGTTATTAAAAAGTTTAATATTCACATTATATGTGTGCTATTGCTTGTGCTATTTTCCACCAAATCATCAGCGTCCTGCTTCTCCTCCCTAAAAGTGTTTGACATCGTAGGCGGATATTTGTGAACTACATCGTAAGGCACTACGATCCCAAATAGTAGGTCATCGCCCAATCCGTCTTTACCAATCCGGACACCAAAATAATGTATCCTTTATGAAAACCTTGCCGTTTTCAACCAAGATGGTGACGTGATTTCGAGACATATAATCGAACTGCATTTTCAAGATGCAGTCGGGGTTGCGTCACAGGTTGTTTTCGCATTCGGCCAGGAAAACCAGATCGCCCCACAGCACAAGGTGCAAATAGAGTACCACGTAAGACTACCTAAAACTACTACTAAAGACTACCTACCTAAAAAAACCTAAAACACTTCGTTTGAACCGATATCGCTTACCAGGGATGACAAGTCAAAGATTTCAGTCGTTAAACTCAAACATTTTAGCGTTATGGGCCTTAGAGTGGGCGTGGCACCCTGCTCCAATAAACATGCTCTACGCAAGAAGCTGAAGAATCTACGTGGCAAATCCCTTTCTTGCACTTGACTAGATCGGCTCCGCTATTGATCCTGATCAAGATCGGACTTTATGGGGTATTAACAAAGTAAAAAACTAGTGACTACCGCACCTGTAACATACAAAAGTTGTGATATTATACGTTCGTATACGTATTATACGATCTATCAAAGAAATATCAAAATCGTACAGCTAACTGCCTACACAGGCACATTGTATATCAAGGCTATTTTCTTAGTAGATCGTATAATACATTTTCCTCACAAAAATTGATATCAGATTTTATGTATGTTGAAGGTGCGATCGTCACGAGTTTTTTCTTCGATAAAAGGTTTTTTTGCTTAATATAATCTAAGTACAAATTTGGTTATACCGACTTCGATAAGAGGTTTTTTTGCTTAATATAATCTAAATGCAAAATTTGTTATACCGACTTTTTATATATCAGCGTTCGTATGGACGATTTTGTGCGGTTTGTAAATTGATAGGTATTGACCAGAGCAATACATTTAAGTTAAAATTGGTTTATTTTTTTTCAAATCAGATTAAAAACACTTCGATGTTGTTGATGAATCATGCAAATTATTGATCTTTTAATCGACACTGTCGAACTGTCACCGACAAAAACTTGGTCTTGCTATCAACATTTTATCGACTTCTTATCGAACTTAATTCAACTATATTTTCAAAAAGAGAAAATTTGAAAGAGGAATAATCGGTCTTGACCCGATTGTCTAATGAGCGTGTGAGCGATGTGATCTCGGAAACTATAAGAGTTAGAGAGTTTTATATCGCACATCGCATTGACTCGGCCAAAGTCGAGGTCGGCACATTGATGTTGTCATTGACTTATTGATGATTGAACTGCGACCCTGCATGGGCAACATTTTACCAAAGCTTTGGGGGGCTTGTGGGCGTTAGAATGGGTGGGGCAAATTCAGATATAAAACTCTCTAACTCTTATAGTTTCCGAGATCACATCGCTCACACGGACAGATGGATATGGCTGGATCGACTCGGGACTTAGGAATTTCATTTGGGCTAAGGCGTTTTTCTAGTGACTGCAAAGTATTTCTTTTAAGCTGCGATATGGCATAATTTCGAGTAATAATGATTTAATTTCGGATTGAACATCAAATATACTTTGCAACAAAATAAAAACCGAATTCCAGCGAGTTTTATTTTCCTGTTTAAGTGACTTACTTAATTTGTTGTTAAGCTCGGAGTGCTTGAAGCACTTAAAAAGTTTTTTAGACCTCTATAAGTTCAGAAAGATCAAAAACGAAAGTTCTAAACTTATGTTATGGCATGAGCAGGACAATCTTTTAAATTTACTAAAAGCAGAAAAAATGTTCGCTCCATTGTCAGTAGCAATAACTCCACTTAATTTATCTTGTATGTTAAAATCGTCGAAAATATTTTTAATAAGTTCTCCAATATTAGCTTCCGTTTTTTTTAGCTGGGAATTCCTTGACACACAGTATAGCTACATTTAAATTAAACTTATCGCAAATGTAATGACCACTTAAACCTAAAAAACAACTCTGAGTATAAGTATCAGTCCATATGTCCGTAGTGAATGTCAAGTGCTGAACGTATAGCTTTTCCTTAAGGTCAACTTTTATGCGGTTGTACTCCTCGGACATTACTTTAGAGGTAATTTATTTATTTATTTATTTAGTATTAGCTATTATACATAAATCGCATTTACAATATATTAACTAATTTAAGGAAAGGAGTAACTAGCTACTATGGCCATCGACTCGACAATTGATAACAATTTAGTTACATATATATTTGTGATTTAACATTTGATGAGAGGGGATATTAGGTGATAATACGGGTGATTAAATTAGGTGTATAATTTTACATATCCGTAGGAAGGATAATAATAGATTGGAGTTGGCAGCTGTTAGGTCAGTTAATAGATTTGATGGCGGGGTACCACCGAATAGGTTTGTTCTAATGTTTTGGTAGTGTCCGCAGGTATCTAGTAGATGTTTTACTGATAATTCTTCTCCGCAATTAGGGCAGTTTAGCCGACTTTCCCCATTAAGGATGTGCCTATGTGTGAGATTTGTGTGTCCGGTTTTTAATCGAGTGAGAATGGCGCATTCCCTTCCGTTGATTGACGTAGGGAACTTGATGTCTTTCTTGTCAGGATTAAATTGTTTATACCAGTGGTTAAACGACGACCAGTCTTCCAGTTCGATGTCCAGCAAAATGTTTTTGATGTTTTCCCAGATGTCCTGTTGTACTCCAGGTATGATTGTATGGCACGGAGCCCGTCCGGCTAGTTTTGCAGCATTGTCGGCTAACTCGTTCCCAATGATTCCTATATGAGCCGGGACCCATAATAGTTTAATTTTGCTATTGTTTTTGATGCAGAGGTGACGAATTTCGGATAGAAGGTTATTGTTATTGCAGAAGTTTTATTTATTTAAATTATTTCCATTTTGGCATCAATGGAAATAATGAAAACGATTAAAAAAAAAGAGTTATTATTATTATTGGTTTTGCTTGAAGAAACTTTAAGCGTAAAAAAAATTGTTGATTTCAAGCCGAGGGAAAAATTAAACTGAAGAGAACGCTATAGTCGATCCCATCGACTATCAGATACCCGATACTCGATACCCGATAGTATTTGCTTATAACTTCTTAATGAACGGTCAGAATTTTTGTGATGTAGATGGACATTCATAATCAAAACAAGATCTCTTTTAAAATTTTCAAAATTATTTAAAGTGTGGGTGCTAGCCGGGTTTTTGCGTTATGGGCGTTTGAGTGGGCTTGGCACCCTTATACTTTCCGAAATCTCAGCGTTCATACGGACGGACAGACAAACGGACTGGGCTAGTGATCCTAAAATCACCTGCTACACTCTTTCATAGGAGTAAAGAGTATCACAATAGACTTTCACAAAAACTCGACTATTTAAAAAGTGCTAAATAGGTTAAGAAAAGACTTGTATCATTCAAACGGAATTTAAAAGACTGCCAAAATGTACATGAAGTTATTTCAAATTTAACTTTTGTTTTGTCAAAATAATTATGCCCACTAGTGTAAATTGACATGTGTGCTTGAAACCTAAGCTCACCAAATAAAACAGCTAGAATACAATTAATCCAATTTAAAACAATAAAAGTCGTGGCAGTAGTCGCCACAAGGAGAGACAATGACAGAGACTGGGATTGCTGAGGATAGGAGTTAATGAGGCATCCGCTGTTAGGAGTATAATTACAAAAAGTGCTAGTATTTCATTTCGCGGGTTCATCTGCATCCAGCCTCCTCCTTTTGGCCTTAGGTGGACCTAGAGTTTCGGCCCCACGACGCCGGTTTCCTGTTTCTCCTGGTCCTGGATCCATGCGACCCCTTGGTCTCGAACCTCGAGCTTTGCACCCAACTGGAGTTTCTCCCCACGGCACCACCTGGTGCTCGATGGTGGACAGAACGCTGGAGCAGCCATGCCTGATCGCCAGTAGGAGGCTTCGCATCGGACTAGTCTTGTTGGGGTAGGGGCTCTGCACTTTCCAGTGCACCGAGAAGTCGGACCGAATGATGCAGAGACAGGCCCTTCCGCCGGAGTTCAGGTCATTCTCCATGCCAACAAACACGGCATCGCAGGCGAGATCGTGGGCGGCCTGCTCGTCCAGGCCCTCCGTCCACCGCGATTCCAGCATGGACATGGCCGCCAGATTGCCGGAGCCCAGGGACGTGAACGGCACTGTGTCCGTGGTGCCATCGAACCGGGTGCAGAAGAGATGGGTCCCGGTTCGATCCACGCCGCCGATGATGACGTTGGCCTGCATGTTCCCGCTGAAGCGGTAGAGCAGCTGCCTCACCATCTGGTTGGCACAGCGCACCGGCACCTTTCGGAACCCTGTGTTCATGCGGTGGAGCTCCAGCTGCGCACGCGTCACCTCCATCAAAGCACTCGTGTCCTGTGCGACTCCGGCACCACCGGCACTAAAAAAGGTTAATGTTTTCGAAATTTGGACGATCTCACAGAAGGAATGCAAGTAATCACTGAGGCCGGCAGTCCACGTAGGGACGAAGCGCACCAGGAGTGTGCGAAGGCGACTACTATATACAGTGGCGAAAAAATAATAGCACCACTTCAATACATTTTCTTCTGGGTAAAATAAAATTGTTTTCAGAGTTTGTTTTTTTTCAACACAAAATTTGTTTGTACTCTTTATTATTCTTTCTAACCAAAAAATGTGTTACCTTGTTTTTAAATCTTGCCTATAAATTTATTTTAAAGTGTTTTATTAAAAAAGCCCAAAAAAAGGAGAACAAAAAAATACCACCACTACAACATTTATTAGCAAAAACCCCATATTTTGGCGAATAGCCTTAATACAAAGCACGGGTCAATTAAATTTATCTATAATTTCAATATTTTGAACATAAAAAGTTTGATAATACCATTGAAATGCGAAGTGGAAAGCATTGCACTGAGGAAAAGCGTGATATCATCCAAAAGTTGATAAAGGATGGAAAATCTTACAGAGTAGTTGGTCGATTGGTCAGATGTTTAAATAAAATGATTAAAAACGCTCTAAACTATAAAGAAAATCCTGAAACACGAGGACGAAAACAATCTATGACCCCCCTTCACGTCAATCGATTGATTCGTCAGAGCACTGCCACTGAGCTTAAAAAGGGGCTTTAAATAAATGCGACGGTGCAAACTGTGCGCACATATCTCAGGGAACATAACCTAAAAGCCTGTAGCCCGAGAAAGTTACCACTTTTAAATGCCAGACATATTTCTAAACGAATGAAGTTTTCTAAGGCTCATGCAAATTGGTCACCCGATCAGTGAAGGAATATTTTACGGTCAGGTGAGAGCAAGGTGATTTTGTTTGGTGTAAAAGGATCCAGATCGTATTTCATACGTCCAAAGAACTCGGAATTTAAGCCCCAGTACACCACAAAGCATGTAGGGCGTAGTGTGATGGTATGGGCCTACTTTTCCTATTACGGAGTAGGCCCGATACGTTGGATCAAGGCCATCATGGATCAGCACGTATACGTGGATATCATGGATACCATTATGCTACCTTTCGCAGAGTATGAAATTCCGCTCGTGTGGGTCTTCCAACAAGATATACCCCAAGTATAACAGCAAGAAGGCAAAGAAAAGGTTTGGGGACAACCCTGTGAACGTCTCCAGACCTTAATCCAATAGAGAATCTATGGTCGGACGTTAAGAAGGCAGTCGCTGCATCATAACCAACATCCATCGGATCCCTTTGGGGAGTAATTAAGGAGTCCTGGACTTAAATTTCCATAAAGCGATGCAAGACTCCTAGCCAAGACTCTGCGCAGCTGTTATTTCCAATAAAGGATACACCACAAAGTATTAAATGAAGAATATAAACTTAGATTTAATAGTTCAATATTGTTATCTCATGAATATTGGTAGTTCCTAAAATTTTAAACCAATTTTTGAAAAGTTGTGCTATTATTTTTTTCGTTAGGTTTTTCGAGTTTTAATAAAGTTTCTTAAATAATTTAAGAACTAAAAAAGAAATCAACATTTTGTTTTCACTTTCTGATTCTTTGTTGCAATTCGATCTCAAAAAGGTATTGCATATTTTGAAAGAGCTAAAAATATAGTTAGGGTGACTATCCAAACATTGCTCGAGTAGGTGGTGCTATTATTTTTTTCGCAGTTGTATACACGAAAAAATGAAAATCTATTGTGATGGTCCGATCGCAACGAATGATACACCAATCGAAATTGGCTTGGGAGAAAGAGCTGAAAAAGTGTGACACTTTTTCAAATTTGCTCGTTCGGCACGCTTCAGCACAGTATTGGAGCATCTTGCCGACACAGGCATTTTCAATTGCAGCGAGCCGAATGTGCAAGTTTAAGAAAGTGTATTCACAAACATAATAAAATTTATAATGTTTCGTTCCGAAATTTGGTATCACAATCCTTTACCTCGTTAAGAGGTATTTTTGCTTGATATAATTTACTTACTAAATGTTGCTCTGCAGCTCATAAATCTTGCGGCTGTTATTCGAGGGTATTATGTTGGCGTTGGTAGCCCTGGAATCTGCGCCTATGATCACGCCTCCGTCATAAATTATGCCCACTATGGTGGTGCCAGTGCTGATACGATTCGGCTCCAAAAATCCATTCTCGGTAAGGCTTTTATTTCTGTGGAAAGGAAATAATGTGAACCTATTAAGGAAATAATCAACTAATTTTAAATTATGTGGCAGATAATGGTGAAAAGCAAGGAAGAAAGCTACAGTCGTGTGGAAGTACTGGCGTTTAGTTCACCGCAAACAATTGTCGAAACTGAATCCGCTGGAACCGCACTGATATGGCGATCGTGCGGTATATCTCATCATCGTTGGTATACCATTAAACATGATGAAGAACTTCTTAGGCTTGAAAGTAAAAAATATATTAAAATCTTTTAGAGTCACTACGCCTAAAATTGTGAATTGAATTTAAAAGCATAGCCTGGTTGAGCTCCAATAAGCGGTCAACATAAAATCGGTAAGGTCCACACTATTAGGGTGCCCTTGAAGCATTTTTTTATAAAATTGTTATTGTCCTTTTATTGGATTATTTCATGTCATTGTTCGAGCAATCATTAAATGCTTAGAAAGAGACAAATATATATGACAATTACTGGGTTTTGTTGGGATAGAAGTGGCCATGCCACTTTAGCAATTTGAACGTTAACCTTAAACTTTATAACTCAAATAACTTTAACTAGCTGCTTTTTGGTTCGAAGCTATTAAGATTGCTTTATAATTAGGTATACAGTTGTCGGCAATTTATATTGTGTTTCGCCGTAAAATCAAACACTTTAAATACGACATTAAAAAATGTTGATAGCTGAACAAAGCTTGTAAATGTTTTTATTTTGATAATTTCCGGCAGTAGTTTCTTCATAAGCCCTTCGAGTTTTATATCTGAATGCTATAATATAGTTTTGTCTTTACTTATAAATTGCAGCGTTATTTTTTGGACTAATTAACACGCTAAAATATTTCTTTTGTGGTTTTTATTTGTTTGCAAAACCAAATTGGCCGCAACCAATTGGCGCTGAAAAAAATCTAACAAAAAGCATAAAATTAGTTTTCATAATCAATCCCATTTTTAGCGCAGCTCTAATTAATGAGCAAAATGGAATTTAAATATGGATCCAAGTATTAAATTAGCAAAGAATTTTTGAATACGAGAAAAAAAAATATAATATCAACAGCAATTTATAGCGGATGTGAGCAGAGGGTGTTAGGGAATACCCCACATATTTTAGCTAAGTTCTCCACCAGGGTTTCTGAACGCGCTCAATTGCTTGGGTCGCATTTTTAGGGTTTTTTCAAAGTTAGTGCGGCAGTCCCACCGACTGGATTCTGCGCAGGCCCACCGCTGGTCACACTGCGGAAAAATGTCGAAGGCGCGCGTCGCTCGCGTTTCTTGAGCTCCCGATCGCCGAGTTTCGTTTCCCAAGAAAACTGAATTGCAACAAGTGCGGAGATCGTTAGTGCCGTGTTCTTTGCGATTGCCCCGCACCGAAGTCGCAGCCTGTGAAATCGCTGCTTTTTGTGTTTTGATTTCGCCAACTCCGTGATTTCTCCGCAGCTCAATATTCGCATTCCCCTGCGCACTTGGCTCTCTTTCGGCGCCGACGTCGACTGCGCAGCCGCCGCGACGCGAAATGTGCAACAACAAGTTAAACAGCAACTACACACCAACACAACGACAAAGTTAACCAATATTTGATTGCTGTGTTAATTAAATTAGCAGCCCGCAGTGCAGTGCAAAATACGCGAGCAGCAAGGAAAAGCCGTTGTTTCTGCCTCCCACCTGGATAACAAAGCTGGATAAATTGGATTAAACCGGGCGACAAGAAGGAGGTATAGAAATTGAAGCCCCCTTGGTATTTATGAATTTCGCCACCCCCTCCGAATTACAAAAGCAACAATTGCCGTGTCCGGCTTAGCAACAACAAAAATAACAACGGCATTCCAACGGCGTCTGCTTTGTTTTCCCGCACACACACACGCACACTCAGTGGAACGCCACCCGCTCCTCTTTAAGCTGTCTCTATTTCCAGCGGGGGAAAGAGACGCTTCCAGCGGGATGTGGTTTTGCGCTTCTTCTCCATTCTCTTGTTCTTTGCAAGAAAAAGAAAAGGGTGCGTCGACATTTCTATTGTTGTTGTTTTTCGTGACGGTATTTTTTTTATTTTGTTGCTCACCTTCATACGTTATCAGAGTGTTCATTTTGATCGTTTGTTTCGCTGGCGAGAAGTCTCCACTGGAGTTTCGTGCTCCCTCACGCCAAACAGTTATACCTGTTTCCACCAGGGAGAGCGAGAGGCGACCTGCGGATAAAACCGAGCAGCAGCGAAATCTCCACTGGAGAGAGCCACTGGAAGATCGGAATTTTTAGTGCTCTGCTCCGACTAACAGGTTTTAGTAGTAGTAGCTTACATGCTTACTTTTCTACTACGTTTTTTTTTCGTTGCGGCTTACAATTCTGTTTTTCCACTCCCTCTCTCTCGCTTTTTGCATGGCAAACTTTCGGTCATTGTACTGTTGTTGTCTTGCCCACCGCCGGAGAACAACAACAATTGGAGAAACACTGATAGCGAAGTACAGTGGAGCAGGTCGAACTAGAACCTAGAGTTATTTCTAAACATTTGATATTTTTGAGTTAGCTCTGTTCAGGGTTCTGATTGATATTCAAAATAAGGTTATATAAGTTAAACGTGTAGGTATTCCATTTACCAGTTTATCATTGTTAGTTATTGTCTACATAAAAACATTGCAAAGACTTCAGTTACCTTTTTAGTTGAACATTGCTTCCTAAAAATGGAGTAAGCTCACTTTCGAGGGCCCACTGTAGCTCCACAGCCCGCTCCTCTGTTTTTCATTCTCGCCCAGCTCCATTTTCGCCTTTTTCGCACACCTCGCTGCATGCGACTGCAAATTTGTGCAGCTGAACTTTGTACTTCTCGTTTTCGCATGAGTCACGAGTCTGCTTTATTTTGACTATTTCCCCTTTTCGGAGCTTGAGCTTGAATGAGTAAGGTTTGGCGGGGTGACCAGGTTTACCTGCATTGCTATCAATGGGCACGCTCCACATTCCAGTCACCTTATCGCGGACTCCGTTGCCCCAAAAAGGGCCGAAAGGAGATAAACCCAATTTTCATTGCACCACAACAGTGACACAATGCAATTGCATTGACATCCGCTGATAAGAAAGGCTAAGAAAACACGAAATAACACTACCACTTCCCAGAAAGGGCACTAAACCAATACGAAAAGCTGAACAAACAAGGTATATAAACAAAAACACCGAAAACAAGTGCGGGGTGAAATCAAATGTAGGACGGCGATCCGCAAACGCCCATGCTGCGTGAAAAAGAAAGAGAAACTGGCCCACGAACACAGGTGCAAGGTAATCTAATTACGATGGCATATAGAGCCTCAATCCAAACAGCGCACTAAAGCAAATCAAATAATGGAACACCGATAAAAGTATTTCTGAAGTTGATGTAGATCAGGGGTGAGGACCAACCGAATGCCCTATAAGCGATGAAAAATCTGTTGCTAGTTGTCTACTCAATAACTAAGTAGAAACCACATTAACTGGATTAAATTCTGTTATTTTTCAATGTCTTCATAACCATATAGTTTTGGATCAAAGCAAACAAAAACCTTGTTGCTTTAAACATTTGAATGTCAAGTCCGCTCAAATGTCAAATCATACCGCTTTGAATAATATCGACAATAATATAACAGTTTCTTCAGAAGTAATATAGAAATGATTTTAAATGTCCAGTTTTCTATACATTTGGTATGACATTATTTCAGCTATTATGATTGAACACACTTTTATAAACATTTAGAACCAACTTGATAACGTGTATCAGTTATTAGTTGGGCCCATTAAATCGACCCGTTAAGAGAGATAAGACGTTATAAGAACTACGTAATATTTAAAAGCTAGACCACCAGATAAGCTCTTTTGCGATAAGTTGGTTGCAGTTAGCCGTCAAAACTATTTACTTTTTAGCCATTGGAACTTCAATCATTTACTCTTTTTCTTACGTTAATAAATATTGTAGTATAGTACATATGAAATAATAAATTCATTTTAGTTGACAAGGTTATAAATAGTTTCCCAACAAGGTACAAAACTGTAGAAATCGGGTCTTTTCCAAAAATTTTCGATGATGGCATTATTTTTTAAAATTGCCAAATTTTTCGGAAAAAATGAGTATTTTATAATTGAAACAGATCTTAGTATTTCATGTATATACATTGTATAATGTGTATTCATATTTCATATTTACAATATAAAATATTTAAAAATAAATGACTTCCCGTTCATAATTTAAGTATTTATAAAATTAAAAACAACAGTGTGTACTGAAATCATGTGCTTTAATTCTTGGACTTTTTCGTAATTGCGCTTGTTTTTCAATTCTTGCCATTAAATTAAGTACACATCGTTCGGTGAGCAAGGCTGAGCTGCTTTTGTCTCCATCGTTGTTTATTAATGCTAAACTACTTACAAATACAACAATAGAGAACGCTATAGTCGATGCCTCCGACGATCAAATACCCGTTACTCAGCTGAAGAGAGTGGGAGAGGGATGGGGATATGCTTGCTTGTGGCTAGCGCCACCCAGCGCCACCTAGCCCATAACACCAACTAGCTAATAGCGCCTCTAGCGGCTTGGTGGCGTATTGTGCAATCTCGATTGAATTTGCAAAATATGGACTATTACTTGGTTATAACTTTAAAATGACTGGTCCGATTTCAATAATTTTTCGCCTGTAGATGGGAATTGTTAATAACAAAACCTCATTTAAATTATTCAAAAATAGTAAGAATTGTGGGTGCTATGCGGATTTTAGCGTTATGTGCCTTTGTAGGCTTTACAGTGGGCGTGGCACACAGCTGAAACTAACTTGCCCTGCGCAAGAAGGTTAAGAATTCCCAACTTTCTAGCTCTTATTTTTTTTAAGATTTCACCGTTCATACGGACAGACGGACATGGCTAGATCGATTCGGATAGTAATCCTGATAAAGAATATATATATATCATGGGGTCGGAAAAGCTTCCTTCTACCTGTTACATACTATCCGTCATACACTAGACCCTTTTACTCTACGAGTAATGGGTACAAAAATAACTTCCTCTCTATACAATAAAATATGCCTATCAAAACATTTTCATTTGCAAAAAAGTCGACTCTATAAACGTACTATGAGAGAAAATAACTAATAATCGAAATATGTTTTAATTCCTTACATTTCACCGTACAAATAATCGAATACCGGCCATATAGAACATGCTAAAACTCTGAATGACTTTTTTTTTAATTAATGGGAACCGAATGCAAAAAGGTGAAATATTCACTGGTGGTATTCCCCACTAGTGAAAACTGAT